GTAAAGAATAAGTATGCTCTTATTTATCACAAAACTTCATTTAAACCTTTAAACATTTGATTCTTACACTGATTATAAACACATTGCTAGGAGGAAGACTCTTCATATAATTTGAACTCTTCTACACTTAGTTGTTATAGAAACATTTAACATTTTACTTTTAGTTTTATATTGATCTTATAGGTAGTAATTACTTCTTTTAATACATAAAATTCAACCTTATTTCCTAGATAATTATCTGTTGTTTTAAGTAGGAGTTTATTAAGGGTCTGTTTGGGGCAGCTGCAGCTTATTCAGCTTATGTCGATAAGCAGCTTATCTTGATAATCTGCTGAGGAGCAGTTGATCCAGATAAGCTGGCTAGCTGTTTGGTTTGTGCGTTTGGAAAACAACTGATTTGCAGTTGTTTGTGGATAAATGACTAGTTTGCCCCTGAACTGAATAAGTTGTTTAGTTGTTTGGTTACTGCGATTTGAGAACAACTGTTTTGCAGCTTTATGAGAAAAAAAAACCATTTCGGACACGTGCAGTGGAGATGTTTGCGACGGTAGTATTACATTTCATAAGTCTTTTACCTTTTTCTTTGTAAAGGTACACTCCTAATCTTTATTACTATTGATATAGATATCACTGACAACTTGATTCAAGTAAAAAGTAAGCCCAACAATAATTAAGAAAATACACATCATTAATACATCAATAATTACAACTCTAAAGATACATATTACTAACAACACACTCCATCCCTAATAATACCAAGAGAATCTGATAATATGCACCCTATATTTTAACCACCTTGAAAACAAACAACACTATACAAATTAATTTAAATTAAATTAAATCCAATCAAGTAGATGCGGAAATAATTTCTCTGGATCAAACAATGCTCAATGATTGCACTAACTCCACATGAAACCTATGCTCAATCAAAATATGAACAGAGCCACCCATCTCCAAGTAAATTAGTACTTAACATAAACTCAAACCAAAAAGAATGAGGGACATAAGGCCTATATTCATGAATAGTTGGGGACAAATAGTTTACTAGTTCCAGGAAGCTCAAATAAATAAATTTATCAATAGTAAGCAATACCAACAACTCCAATTTTGATTAAAAATCCTTACTCAAAGCCCATCAAAAATACGCCTTTAGGATGAAACACAGAAAAAAGAAATTTGATTTCACTTCATACACGCCGCTTTCCTAGTTACTTAAAAGCTCCTTCCTTTTTCACTTATGGCACACATCACAGCAAGAGCCATCCTAACTAGAAAGCCTAATGAAGGAGAATGTAATTCAAAAGGAGGATCACGCAGAACCGGAACAAATTGAAGAAGTAATTACCTTTGTCTTGCTTGTATCTCTTCAAGAGACTCCTTTTTTTATTTCTGTAGAATTGATTGCAAACACTTCGCCAAAATCACCCACTGCCCCAGTTTTCGAAGGCTCCGTGACAGAGGATGCGGAGGGAGGATCAGTGAGAGGAGACGAGAGGGAGGATCGGAGAGAGGAGAGAGGAGCGGAGGGAGGATCAGAGAGAGGATACAAGAGGGGCGACTTTTGGCTTTTGGTATAGGAGAAACGTAGGGCGAAGTCGCGAAGGCAATGGAGTAAACATGTAGAGGCCGAATGCGGATCGCAGGGGTATACCTGCGGTCCGCGTGTGGTAGAAATTAGAAAACACAGTTTGGAAAAACGCCCCTCAAACGCGCGAAACAAACACTAAGGCGGCATTTCTAAAATGCCGCCGCACTTCTAAGCTGCCCCAAACGGGCCCTAAGTCATTATAAAAGGGCTACAACTTTCCTGTGGGATCAATAATCAGGACTCTATTAGAGTCCGATATTGCTTGAATGATATATTTAGTTGCGTAGAACCCCCTAGTATGTAACTTTAAATCAAATTCTAAACTTTGTATCATATACATTTTGCACACTAGTTACTCAATATAAATTGAGTCAAAAATTTTTTCCATCTTTTGGGCAACTTAAATAAATTGTGTAATTGCATTTCGGGTCAGTGCTTCCCTTAAAAAGAGCGTGAGTGTGTTATTTACTAGGTTTAGTGAATTAAGGAGAAGGATTTTGGGGAAGGGCATGGAATTAAAACAATCACCAAGTTATGTTTTTTTATTTCTTACTTTTCTTATTTTAAAATTTATTACTGCACTTTATCATTATGAAATGGATTTGCTCAAGCTTATCTCAAATTATACCATGCTATGCTAAGTTTTCTTGCTTTTATGGTTTTATATATTTTTAAATAAATGAGTTTGATTTAGGTTTGATAATTTTTAATTTCATATGGAGGTAAAAATATGATAAAATGAAACTAGAATCCATACGAGATTTTATCACATTTGTAACTACAAAAAAATAATAAAAAAATAAATAACATTTTCTAGAATTGTCATATTTTTGGCAAGACCTAAATTTTTTAAATCAATGCATTAACTTTAGTGATCCCATGCAAAATTAGGATTAATAGCCTACACTATTTCAGCCATAAAGACTCACAAGTGAGTTTGTGGTAGGTGGTAACAACCTTCTCTCTAAATAATGTTCAGTCTACTATTTTTAAAATTGTAATCATCCTTTATTAACAAAACTGTCCTCTCGTGAATATGCATCCTTTCTCCAAAGGGATATAATTGAAACTTCTCATAAGTCAATCTTAAAGTATGTCGCATAAGGTGAACTATTCCACTTCTACTTCGATTAAAGTTGCTCTTCATAAGGCATATATGTGGATGCTCTGCCAGGAACAAAAAAGAAAGCAAAATATATTCCTCCACATAAATTTTGTTTTTTATGAGCTTCAATAACTCAGCTAAAGATGGTAGGCATTGCAAACCAAGTGCATAAAAGAAAAAACCTTTTCTCAGCCCTTAAGTGAATATACCATGGGAAATTACCAGATTTAAATCATTTTTTTTTAAAATATTCCTTTGAAAATAGGTTACAAAAGCCCCAAAAAGTTTCACCTAGCTTATGGGCAATTCATAGTAGCTCTT